TTTAGATATTTTTTTTAATGTCTTGTATCTAACAAAATGTTGACAATAACAGATTGTGTTTTATGTGCGGCATTTTAATGTACACGAAAACACACACATAACATACATACATAAATATGTGTTTAGGCATATACAAAAGGTGGCAAGTTGCTGTAAATAACGGTGAGTCGAGCCCACTGAAGGAGGGAGCGCTGGCGCAGGCACGCATACTGTAGCAAAACTTAGTAAATCACTTCGATTTAAGATACTATAGACGCAGCAATGCAGGCTGAGTGAGCTAAGTGGCAAATAAGCAAAAGAAGAAAGTATTTAAAACCAAAAAAAAATCCAGCGTATGCCACAAAAAAAACACAAGCGGCTTGTGTATTTAATTTAATTTTTGCCGAAAAACTTTTGCGCAAGCACTCTTACGCGTGAGTTCGGAAAAAATCAAAGAAGCCAATAAAAGACTCCGCAACGTCACTACGGCCACTTTGCTTCCGCGCGCATATAAATTTGATTTCCATAGCTGCTGCCCACTCCCTTCCAACTCACAAGACGCACTCGAGTTGTTTGCCTCGCAACATCAACGCTACGGCTGGCGTTGCCACACTGTATGTCATACTTCACCGCGCCGCTTTCGCTATCTGCGCAATAAAACGCGCTTTTCTTCACTTCGCACTTTTCTTCTCTCCAACACACACACACACACGCATCTTTTCATTTTTTTTATTATTTCAATCGCATTCTTCGCTGCTGTTGCTTTGTTTTCATGGAAATTGCTGTGCAGCTCTTCCGCCAAATTTCACGCCGGATATCCATATCTCTCGTTGATGGAGAAGTTGTCGTCAGCGCAGCAATTGTTGTTGTTGGCTTTTTATAAATTTATTCATTCATTCTTTTAGTGGCCAGATTTACTTACCTCGGAGAGTCATAATGCCTGTCATCCGCACTTTGTGTGCCATTGATGTGACAAAATAAATACTTGCAGCAACCCGTGCAGGGCAACTGAGGCGACGGCGAGGCGCGGCAAAATCAAATTACAAGTATCGAATAAAATTTAGCGACGGCAAAGTGCAAACTTGGATTAGAGTGACGACACGGGCTGAAAGATTTGGATCGTCTTCATGGCTTCTGAAAGCTGTTGAATTTAAAGTGCAAGAAAATGGGCGGCGAAGTGTGCAAAGCAATGAAAATGTAATAAAGTAAAATTAAAAAACAAAAATAAAATTAGGGGACTTTCAGAGCAAAATACGTATAGGCTCTTAAAAACGTAAGCTAAAATACGTATAAATAAAAAAAAAAATTAAAATCGACAACAAAAAAATTTTGTACTTTTTTTTCAGTGTAAAGATTTTGGAGGACACAACTTGTCAATGAGTATGATGAGATTGAAACATCTAGACACTTTATCCTCCATTGTTCAGCTTTCGGCAGGTTGAGCCTGAAGCATCTCGGTTGCCATACTTTTTACGAACCTTGCGAAATGGCTAGAATAGATATTAGCCGCCTCAATAAAGTTGTGGCAAGCTCTAGGCGTTATTAACCATACCTAGGAGTTTTAGGCAACACACCGGACAAGCGTCAGTCCAAGTGAGATTATTCGTGGCCTCACGAGTAATCAGCTTATTTACAAAACCTAACCTAATCTACAGAAAACGGTATTGACGAATGTGGTCAATATGCTGCGATCACTGTTGTTTTGACAATCTGGACTAAATTTTAACAGAGTTCTAATCTCGGAAAGCGGTAAATGTTCTACAATCATCACTTTTGGTTTGAGGCTTGTCTTTTAGGCTATGTAATTCTATTTTGCTCGAAATAAAATTTCGCTAAACTTCTAAATGACACTCTAATAACTTCTTTGCGCTTAAATGTATGCTACATAAATAGTAAATGACCGTTATGAACAAATATTATTTTAAAGATATTTGGAATAAAATGTCGGAGACGCTATAAAATATATTAAAAACTTACTATCAGCATGACTAACTTGGAACACTTTTTCACTTGATGAGTTATCTTCACAAAATTTGGCATGGACTATTATCAAAGGCAATAATGCAATCTCTAAAAAACTGTTTCAGATCGCAACACTACAGCATATAGCTGCCATACAACCCATCGATAGATTGGAATCAAATTCTTTTAAGGAAACTTTTGTATTTGTGAAGGGTATTATAGCTTCGATGCAACCGAAGTTAAAGTTTTTATTTTGTTTATTTGTTAAATAGCACTGTTGATTATACGAGTATAATAATATATTATATAGTCTTACTTTCATGTAATTTATAAGTCCTACGCGATTTTCAGCAACAGCATACCTCATCCTCTAATAGCTGTCCCCGAGTGGCCACTTCTTACTCGATATTTTTGAATCTTATTGAACACTTGGGAATAGAAACGCAGCACTTTGGTCATTCCAACGGACATTACACACACAGGCACATACTAAATCGTGTTCGAGAGTTTCGGACGCAAACATTCATTTACTGTTGTGGGCGTGTTAAATAAGCGCACAAAGTTCTATGCAAAGTTGTGCCACTACGTGACCTTTTGTGTTCAGAGAGCAAGAAAAATGTTCCAAAAGAAACACGGCCATTAAAGAAACGCATTGAACTGTGAGCATTTGCGCTTTTGTTTGTTGGCATTTTTCCAACAGACAAAAGCGTTTGAAACTTTCAAAACTACAATACAAATAAATTTCGTTCTTATGTTGTGGTGCCACGAAAAACAACACCAACAATAAGCGAAAGGACATAAAGAATAAAGAACTTAACCAATAACGATTAACATGCGTTGTATTTGTTATTGTTTTCGTAACACTTCTTATTGCGGCGCTTTTGGTGTGCTTGGTGTTTATAGTGTTGTTTGTGTTGTTGTTGTTTTTGGCGGTGGATCGATCTTACACTTGAAATGATTTATGGGCTGGAAAACAAATTACTTTGGGCAACACCAATGCGGCAAATAACTAAATAAATAACGGTATTGGACGGAATAAAAATCAAATGGTCGCCAACATTACAATGCGCTTAACAGTAATATGTTTTTATTGTTGTTGTTGTTATACGTTGGTGGGCCGTCGTAATTTAAATTCCAGTTTTGTGTAGCACCCACACACATACAACCGCACAAAACACTATAAAGGGGCGCCATAGCGGAGGACGGACGCCCTTTTCTATTATTTTTTATAGAAACCAAATCGAATTAAGCGTGGTAAGATAAAGCACCTAAAATAAAATAAATGCAGTTGCAAATAAAAAATAGTAGCAGCATGTAAACCGGAAGGAAGCTTAGCAAGCGTGGCGAACTTACGAATTTCCGCAGCGCAATCAATGTGGCAAGGCGCGCGTTGAATTGTAGGCATCGTAGGGCAGCGTGTTGCAAGCGCAAATGTTTTTATTGAGTTATTTTGGTTTTAAGCGCTTTCTGAACTTTTATTGACCTTTGTCGCTTATCAACTGGCATGCTGACCCGCGCGCTTATAAACTAAGTCATCAAAAATGCAATCAGTCAAAGCGTATAACCGAAGTGACCCCAATCAAAAATGTTGGAATGGACGTGAGCGTTCGCTTGGCTTGCATTTGCTTAACTACACTTGCTGATGCTTGCGTTTATAGCTCATAGCTGGTTGGGATCATTGGTAAACCGTTAGCTACAAGTCATCAATTTTTATGACCACCAATAAATACTGGCACTGTGTCAAGAATAATCAAATACCCGAATAGGATTTGATATCACTACTAGCATATGCTAGAAAATCGAGTGCAATCGCTTGCCACAAGTGCAGACATATGCGGTGTGGCACGCACAAAATGTTACGCGTAAGTAGCCACAAATATTTATTAATTGCCTTGTAAGCATAATTCCGTTATTTAGCACTTTGCCCTGCATTCGCTCATAAAAGCGCGCACTCATATGCGGTTGCTAGTTGCTAGCCGCTGAGTGCGCGCGTTAATCCCGCCAGCGCTACTTGGCTGCCGTTGCATCTGTTGCACTCACTGACACTCCCCTGCAGCGCTACTTGGCGCATTAAAATATTTCCTTAATAACATTAAATTTTACAACATTCTAGCCATGAAAGCAAAGCATTGATATTTTTCAGTGAAAAAATAAAATAAAAAATATTTCTAAAGTCAATTTTTAATGTTGCCCCATTTTCGTATGTTGCCAGTCACACGCAATTTGTATGCAATTCGAGCATTAAATGCGTTGCACATTCATCATTCCAATTTGTTTATATTTATGTAGTTAAGTACATTTGCCTATGCGGTTTAATTTGTCTTGTCATGCGCCCATAAAGGGCGTACAAGGGCTGCTACTACGAGCTAGCGATTTATGATCCATAGTTATGCTTTTAATACACAAAAGGGTGATGCCGCCCCTGATCATTTGTAATTTGTGCATAGCATTGATTTATTACTTTCTAAAGTGCCAATTTATGTCGATTTACTTCGTCTGGGACCTAATAACACCAGCTGGCCGCCTTCAAGTGATTATAAATATAATATTTTGGAAGAACGTGTCGATATTTGGTCATAAATTTAATTCGCTAGAAATATGTTGGCTGATATTAATATTTTTGGAATATTTTTGTATTAATAAGTCATATTTGGCGGCACTTAATATAACTGGATATATGTGCATTTATGCATTGAAAAAATGTGATAAAATTTATTATAAATAAAAAAATTGGTTTGGTTGCTGGTATTAGGTCTGTATTTTCAGCTTATTGTAATCGGTAAGCCATTTTTCTAGGCGCCAATATGTAGGCAATGCCTGACTATACATTTTATATTAGTCCGCCAAAATGTAGGCAAGTACTTTTATATAAATTAAAAGTAAGTACAAGGAATTTATTACCAAAAAGTATTGTAATATACATCGTAGATATTTTGCTCAATGATTATATACAGTCAGTTATTTTTGGTCTCAAACAACTGTTCAGCACCTTTCGTAATACTTCTTTATATATTTATGGGATATAATAAAAAAGTATTATGACTATCAACTGTACTTACGTATAAATTGGCTTGACATTGCCCTGCCGATACCAGATGACTAGTTGCACCTTATCAGCCGTCATTGTGCCCGGCAATAGGTCACATGGTAGCGCCACCTCCAGCCCCACAGCTGTTTGCACCTCTGATAGCGGACCTGTAACGAATTAACGAATAAAAGCGTAAATATTAACTAATATTAATTAAACTAATTTATTATTATCAGCAGCAATAAGAGTAAAACAGGCGCGTTAAACGCAATAAAACGTAATTAATTACTTAATTCATTAAATGATTGGAATTACAGATGACCATGGGTGTTGCGACTCAGTGGCCTAAACACAAATACACACACATGTACAATATGACAAGAGCGTAAATGCGCACAGCTATGCGTAATCATATGCAGTTATCTTGGTAATGCAATTGAGTTGTGATAATTTAAAATTCAGCGCCACACAGCGACCATAAAAATTGCTGACAAACAAAAGTTGGTCATTAGCTTAATAATATTTTTTATAATATGTAAATATATATATATATATTTATACATAATATATATAAGTGTATTTGCTTTCTTCGCGCTCGCCATGTAAGCTGCCGAAAGCCAAACTAGCAAATGTGAGGAGTTGAAGTATTTTAATGGGAAAAACTTGGTAATTTTGCCAAATTAGCCCCACTAAATATACATGCGGTATCATAAAATTATAAAAGCATAAAAATATTAACCAAAACCCGGCAATAGTCGATTTGAGCACCGCACCTGTGTATGTGTGTCTAAATATTATATTTCTGTGTTGGTGTGAGCGCGTTGCTTCAGTGCAACCAAGCCCGACCACAAAGTGTTGAAGTCCATTAGGCAAATTGAATTGCAATATTAATAACAACAATAGCTATCGAGGACGAGTTATGCCGTGTATGTATGTGTAGGAATATGTGTGCCTTGGCATATGAATTTCTGTGGGTATTTGTGTATTGTTGTGGCAGCGCTTACATTTAGACCACAAACAGCTGAAATTCGCGTTCGTTCGCCCCCTGAGTATAATGTTGTATCTATAATTGTTGCAGTTGTTAGAGTTGCATAATAAAAGCCACAAAATGTTTTTTTTTCTGTCCGACAACTATCAATATCGAGCATCGATGTCATATTGTTTAATAAAAACAAAGCGATGCGATCAGAACAATACGCCAAGCTCCAATGACACACAAATACTTTAAAACAAACATACGTATGCATACATATATGCAAAAATAAATTTATATAAGTGTATATATGTGTAAGTAAATAGAGTGTATATATAGCACAAAAACCTTTCATAGATATGCAGAGCAAGGCAAAGTGCGATACCTTGAGCTAGATATCACGGTAGCATTCACTTTTTTACAATTAAAACGGATTTATTGAAAAGTTGACGAGACGCTAAAATGTATAGTATACAAACACATATACTATATTTGAAAGCTATAACAAAATTACAGAAGAAATTTAAAGAACAAATGCTTTTAGTTACATTCATGAACTTCGTTGAAACGCTTGACAGTTGTAGTCTAGCTAAGTCACTAAGGGTAGTAGTTTATTGTAGGAGCCAAAAATTTTTTAATTTAAAAAGAGGGAGTTTACAGTAAATAAATGTATATACTTGTATATATATATAGTAAATAAATATTTCTCGTTAGTACTAAATTGTTATCAAAAGTGCGCGTTTAAGTTCGACTGCTTGCTAACACGAGTTGAGTTGAGAAAAGTTTTGGCTTGGTTAAGAATTAAATTTGAGCGGAAATAAAAATTAAGCAATATTTTACATAAAAAGAAAATATTAATTGAAAAGTTGAAAATACAGAAATTTATTACAAAAAAAAACTGTTCTCATTTAAAAATTTCAAAGCAATGCTTCTAAAACAAGTTCATACATTACCGTTTTTAAATTCAATAAATAACAATAACAAACATTTTGAAAAACTGTTCTCAGCTTGAAAACTGTTAACATTTTAAACTTCAAACTAATGCTTCTAGATGCTAAAGCTTATATTACAAATTATCGATTTGGAGTATAGCTCTAAATTTCAAATCACTTTTGAAAAACTGTGCTCGGTTTGAAAAATGTTCTTATATTATATATTCGGCATCTTTCCTCGAAAATATTTAACTTATGCTACAAGAAATATAAAAATATTCAGATAAGAGGAGAACTTCATATACTACACATATTTTATTCTAAACAACCGTTTTAAACGAGTCAATTTTTCGCTAGTTATATTAGATTAAATAACAAGTTTAAACTTATTTTCAAGGTTTATATGAGTATTAAGGGAATATAACATTTTAACTTTTATTCATAAAACTTATTTATCATTAAATAACAAAGAAATTACTCATTTATTTTATCATTTTATTTAGCACTTTCTTTCCACACGCTTTTTTTTTTAACATCAACGCGCCTAGCAGTATTAACAGTTAGTTTTGAATTGTAACAAAAAAAATATTGTAAATACGTCAAATGAGCGCAATAAGCAGTGCTTAGTGACCTATATAACAAAAACAAATAAATAATAATAATAATAACAAAAAAATTGTATACGCATCAACCATATACGAGGTGTGTTCAAAGAAAAAGGTGAATTTTGCATTTTTTTTGTAAAGTTCTTATTTATTCATAAATATCTATTTGATTGCCTTCAAAGTAATCCCCCTCGGATATAATACACTTGTGCCAACGCTTTTTCCAATCTTCGAAGCATGCATATGTGTATGTATGTATGTACACGCATACATATATGCACTACAAATGCACACGCTCGCATATAAAGTACTTTTAAATCATATCAAATTCACATGAAATTCTACCAGTGCACATACTAAATCGCGTTTAATTGCTTTTGTTGTTTTTCTTTCTGTCCACTTAAGCTTCGAATTTCAATTTGCCTGATGTTTACACAGAAAAGTCTTCTGTAAAAATAAAGTCACTGTTGCAATAACAAAAACAAATTAGTGCTGATTTCCAACTAAAAACGCTAAGCGCACGATTTACGCACACACCCACACTCATACATACAAACATGTATCTATATATTTATTGTTATTATTTTTATTATTATGCAGAAGTTTGTTTAATTTCGGTTTATTTATGAACAAAAATTAAAATGCAGCGGCTTCTCTGTTTTTATTGCTTAATATGACAATTTGTTGTTATTTATATGTTTGGTTTTGTTTTGATTTCTCTTTTTGTTATATTTTTTTTACCTTTGAGTTGCCATTAGGCTGGACGGTCACGTTTATCGCCAACGGCGCCAAGGTATTGCTTAGTTATTAACAATAACTGTTGATAGGAATTTCATTCAATGCGGTTTTTATGGGAAAAATGTAAATATTATAAACACAGACATACACACAATCTCGTGTGCATATGTGGGAGTATGTTAGGAGACGCTTTGTTGATCAAACTTTTTGTATGCGAGTGTTTAAAAATCTGGAAAAACAAGTGATATTTTTACAGGGATTAAGCGTCGCACATGAGTACACGTACTGTATAAATGATGCCAGTATATATTGTACGGTTAAACTCGAATTTAGAAACAATATACTCTTAGTATGTGTATACTCGCATTAAGCAGTAATACATTTTTTAGATTTTTCTGTTAAGTATTTTTATTTGCAAAACTGTTCCTATGTTAAAAAGGCAGTACTTTAGCGTGTTTAGTTTGAGGCTTAAACATGATTGTATGGCTGTATCCATGCATGTCATTTCATTAGACAAAAACTGTTCCCACCCAACTTTTTTTCATAGGTAGCTGCGAGGCATAGAATCCACCAAGTCCTGGCAGCGCTTGACAGGGATCCGCTCCCATGATTTTTGAACAACCTCCCAATGCTGTGATCGAGATGTTGGATTTGCATTTGCAACATATCGATTAACATCTCCTCATATGTTTTCAATTGAATTTAAATCCGGAGACTGCGCAGGCCATGACATAAGATCGATCCGTTTTGATGCCATCCAGCTTTTGACCAGTTTGCTTGTATGTTTGTAGTCGTTATCTTGTTGAAACGTCCATTTTAGTGGCATTTCCCAATTGACATAAGAAAACATAACTTTTTCTTATATGTTAACATATACAGATCGATCCATGATCCCATCAATCATGAATATAGGGCCCACTCCACTGTAAGAAAAACATGCCCATACCATAATACTCAATCCGCCGTGTTTAACTGCCTTCAAAGTGTACCTAGGATCATACTATGTGTTAGGTGGATATCTAACATATTGTCTGGAGCCCTTTCCACGAAATAACACAATTTTACTTTCGTCACTCCATAAAATATTTCGCCACTTTGTAATGGGCCAATTAAGGTGACTTTTGGCGAACTCCAAACGTGCTTTGACATGTCTGGTGGCTAACAGTGGAACTTTTCGTGGATGGCACGCTTTGAAATTTTGTCCTTATGAGGCGTGGTTTTACGTCGGATACCACGATTTTCGGGCATTTTTTTAAAGTTTAAAGCATTATGAATCATTTTAGCAGAACATTCACATATTTCTATGTACCTATGATTCACGCGTGTTATTTAATATTTAGTTCAAAAATAAGAGACGACAAGTCCAATTATAAAATTTTGCATATGTGACTTTTTCAGATTTCGAATCACTACTGAAAAATACTATTTAAAGTTGAAAAAAAACTGTTCTCATTTTGAAAAGTGTTCCCACTCACGAAAATCTTACTGCTTTCTGAAAATTTATGATGCCCGCTCAAATAAAAATCTTTGACAAAATTTTTTTCAATTTTAAAAGGCGTATGCACTTACAACTATTTTACTGATTTATGTAGAAATATTGTATAAAAACATTTTACAGCTGAGAATTATTCGCCTACTCAAATAAACACCTGGAAAAAAACGCTAAATATTATCTCGATAAATATGTTATTTTTTATGTTAAAGTTTCCAATTACAATCGATCGAATCGGTGATCTGCGTAACACACCCGCGCATTTAAAATCCATTTTAAGCTGAACGTAACGGATACCACCACCGACAATCCATTGCGCATTTCGCTTTCGTGGTTATCAAATGAATCAGCGTTGTCGTTATTGAAGAGTTGAGCTTTTTTGTTTACGGCTTGGTAATCCGAAGCGCAATCTGCCGTAAGCGTGACT